GGGGGGCGGCGCCCCCGCCTGCCCCCTGCTGCTGGCCGAGCCGGGCCCCGCGGGCCCGAAGGGCAAGGAGCCCGTGGTGTACCCCTGGATGAAGAAGATCCACGTGAGCGCCGGTACGCCGCCGCCGGGAGGGCGGGCGAGGGGGCGCGGGGCAGGGCGCGGGAGGGGACCCCCGGCAGGCCCCCCACGCCTCGGCTGCGGCTGTGTGCGCGCCCGCCCGCAGCCTGGGCCCCAACGTGAGAACCCTTTTGTACCCAGGGTCCCTTTATCCCGAGATTTACGAGACGCCAAACCGTTAGGGCAGTAATTATAGCCCCCATAAATTTAATTGCCCTGGCAGAGGCTCCGGGCCGTGTGTCTTTGAAGCTTTTCTGCAGCCCCAGTGCCCAGCACCGTTCTTTATGGCTCTCGGGTGTTTCCCGTTGTCAATAGCCTGTGAAACATTTTCTTTGCCGTTTTATGTGTCTTGTGTGAACTTGGTGTCAGGTTATTATATAATGATGATGTCCGATTGCTCTTCCCCACCCTATCTTCCTCTCTCCTTCTCTCCATCTCTTCCCCTCCCTCCTCCTTGGCCTTCCTCCTTCGGGGTTCTGGCGTTCAGTCAACCCCAGTTATAACGGAGGGGAGCCCAAGCGCTCCCGAACCGCCTATACCCGGCAGCAGGTCTTGGAGCTGGAGAAGGAGTTCCACTTCAACCGTTACCTGACCCGGAGGCGCCGCATCGAGATCGCCCACACGCTCTGCTTGTCCGAGCGCCAGGTCAAGATCTGGTTTCAGAACAGGCGGATGAAGTGGAAGAAAGACCACAAACTCCCTAACACCAAGATGCGATCTTCCAACCCCGCCTCGGCCTCTGCCGGCCCGCCTGGGAAAGCACAAGCTCATAGCCCACACCCTCATCCCCACCCTCTCCCCAGTGCCTCCGCGCCCATTCCCTCCTCCATGTGATCCCCTGGAGACCTAAAGCAGTTCCTGTCACTTCCCTGCCCTCCTCATCTCTTGCTCCTATCCTCGTCCGCTCCTCCCCCAGTAAACCCTAACAGACACCAAAACAAAATTCAACTCGGTGGAAACCATAACCAAAAAGAAGACGTTATGCCTAGTGTCTGTGTGTGGACCCCCAAAGGACACCTGTCCCGGATACTGCTTCGTGGGACAACCTGCTGACCTGGGCAGCTCTGCCCGGGGTTGGAAACCTGCAAGGACTCACTTGCCATCGGCTACCTTTGACTCAGCAGGACTGCACGTGCTCACTGGGAACGCGGGCTTGTTCTCTTGGCTGCGAGGAGAAGCCCAGCAGTCTCCCATCTTCCTCCCCTTCCTCTTCTGCGCCCAGGCAGCTCTCGCGAGCTTTGCTTAGTAGACATTTGTGGACCTCACCAAATTATTTAATTCTCAAAGTGTGTAGATCTTGATGGTAGGTGCATCATGTAGCTTCTTCCTCTCCTCACGTTTATTATAGATATCGTTATAGAGGTGGTGTTGTCTGATTCTGGGGCACAATCTTACGGGAGAGGGAAATGCGTTTAGACCCACTGTGTAAAGTGATATGGCTGTATAAAGAGGAATGTGCTAAGAATAAAATTCATTTAAAAGAACATTAAAAACCGAGGAGACAGATTTGTGTGTATTCTAAACTAGAAAGAAAGAAAGAAAGAAAGAAAGAAAGAAAGAAAGAAAGAAAGAAAGAAAAGAAAAGAAAAGAAAGAAAAATAACCCCCCCCCCAATATCTCCTCTTGGTTGAGATATTTGACCTTGTATGCAGAAGCCTTGTAGACAGTGCAAGCTGGGGTCATTCTGAGTACTCTGACTGTGTGTGTGTGTGTGTGTGTGTGTGTGTGGTGTGTTCAGCTCGGTCTGAATTCTTGTCAAGTTTGACCCACTGTGGAAGTGTTCCAAGAAGCAGGAAGGCTCTTGAGCCCTGAGAGGGCTCCTCTTCTTCCCAAACTTGGCCAGGCTCTCAGGCTTCACGTCCCTGTGAGGCACAGAAACATGCCTGTCCCTGTAATGAAAGGTGAAACCTTGCCGCGCTGGGCCCAGGAGTCCCTGCAGCTGTTGCAGCGGTGAACTCTGAGCACACTTGGAAAGAAGCGTCCTCTTGGCATTTGCTGCACCTTCACACTTAATCTGCCTGTTTCCCTGGAGATAAAAAATAGTTTATGCAAAGGTTTGAGGCTGCTTTTTGGTTTTTGGCTGGTCTTAAGGTCTTTTGAGCTGAGCACAGCTTGGGAATTTTTGTTTGCTTCTCTAAGAAGAGCTTTTAGACTAAAGTGAGCCCTCCCACCAAACTCTCCAAAGTACCCTCAGAGGAAATAAGAAGCATAATGACACCCCAACATGCACCCTAAGCAAGGTAGATTTCGAAGAGTTCACCATTGGAAGAAAGCCAAACTCTGAGTAGGTCCACTTCCCTGACATGTTCTGGAGTGCTCCCTTGTACCCCCAAAGAGCTAGACTTTTAAAAACATAAAAACTCGCCTTTTGATCTCTGTAACACTAGTATTTGTGCGTCGGTTGTTGGAATTTGGTGCTCAGGCATCACACACACACACACACACACACACACACACACACACCATAGCACAGAATATTATAAGTGCCACTTGGCCTTGAAACAGCAAAGTTTTGGGGATTTTATAGTACATGAGAGAGAGAAAGGATGTTTATCTACCTCCTTAATATCAGAAGAGATTTAAAACCATCACCATAAGTGGGGCAAGTTCAGCCACCCCTGCGCCCTGAGTACAAGCCAGGGGGTTCTTTTCTTTACATATAGATAAGCCAGCTTCTAGAAAGAAGTGACGGGTTCTAGTCCCCCAGAGAAGCTGAGAAAATTCATGGGGAAAGGAGTATGTATACACAGGCTTCAAGTTAGGAAGAACCTGGCACAAACTCCAGCTTGTAAGGAGTGAGCAGGCGCTGAGCATTTCTGGAGGCAATGTGGCTCCTGCCACAACTTACCAACACCCCTACTGCATGCACTTGTAAAGCAAAATGAAATCGCACTGAACATAGCAATTTCCCCTGGAATCATTAATCACCTCATACAATAACTACTTCTTTGTGATTCAACGGCAATTCTGAAAGGCATTCTCTGGGAAAAGTCTTTGGAGGAGAGAGGGACCCTGCGAATAATGCTTCCCCAGGCAGAGAGGCAACATCTTGGTTATCTACATATATATATATGATTGCATATACATGTACATATGTGCGTGCCCAGGCTCTCAGTGGAAACTGAGTATCAAGCCTCAAAACCTCACAAGGCAGATTTTCATCACTTAAAGGAAATGCTTATAATTCTTCTCGGTGGGGAAGGGAGGATGTGAGACACTCACTGGCTTTATGGAGATTGTGGCAGGTAGAGGGGACACCTTTCATTTGTCCATTCATAAAAGGAAGTGAGAGTTAAGATCATTTTTTTTCCTGCTGTTTTGGTTGAAATAAGATGACGTTTTTGTATTGATTATTGAGGTATTGGTATTTTGCAAAACCAGACTTATTAAAAATGCTACAAATGGTTATGCCATTTCTTCATGGTAGATGTTCTATTTGTGATTCGGCCAGCCTTTAAGGGAGCTTGCTAGAACAGCTAAGAAAATCCCACTGTGCGCTCTAAAATCGTTCATTGTCTGCCCTTTGTCAGGGAAACCATAAGAGTTCACTGAAAGGACAGATTTTCTATCTCATTAATTGTTTGTTTTTTTTTTTAAGCAAACCTACTAGTCCTTCAAACCCTTGACCTTTAAAGACAGTATTTTGTGTGAGCTCAGTAGCTCTTTTACCAAAACGACCCTTGCACATGCTCTCCTGTTCCCTCCCCCTTTTTCCTCTCTCCCTTCAATACAAGCTCATCTGATTTAGTCACAGAGCCAAGCTGTGCATGACTCTGGAGAGAAAAGTTTTGTCAACATCTGAAATCAACCTAAATCGGATAGGAGACACTTTAATGGTCACAGTTTGAATTAAGTACTTAACACTCTCCCCCTTGAAGAAAAATGGCAGTTTGCAGGCATTCTTTGCTAGTTTTGCTGAAATCTACGATATAGCCACTGTTTTATTACAGTGGGAATTCATCTGTGACAGGCATAGTGGGGTACTTAATACCAGGATGGAGCTCATGGGAAGATTACCAGATACATGGGTGGCCCACTCACACTGCCTCTGTCTTCGTATCAGCAATCCTGGGGTGCCCTCGTCCCTCTACTTTTGTACCTTCTTCCCCGGCACCTCTGTTCCTCTAAGCTCTCAAACTGTGCTATGGTCCCCCGCTGCTTTTCCTCTGGCAGTACCAACATAGAAACAGATCAGCAGTCCTTTAGAGTGGAAGGAGAGACACCTCACAGAATAAATGCAGCAAATGACAACCTCAGGCTTCCCATCCCCTGGGCTGGGTGCTGTGCTGTGCTGTGCAGGCAAAGGCCTTCAGCATGGTTCCACTGATGTCTGCATCAACAGGGACAGTCCATCAAGGAAGGACTCAGGTTTAACCTTTCCCAAGTGCTGTTCTGGCATCTGTTTCCTATATTATACGCTGAGTCAAGGTGAGAAAAAAAATAACAAAACTATTTTGTACCTCAAAGAGGATGGTATGTGCATGCCTTTTATCCCAGCACTGGGGAGGCAAAGGCAGGCAGATCTCTGAGTTTGAGGCCAGCCTGGTCTACAAGTGAGTTCCATGACTGACAAGGCTACACAGAGAAACTCTGTTTAAACAAACAAAAAAACAAACACAAACACAACAACAGAAGAGCATGGCATGAGAATCAGAGGAGGTGGAGGAGGAGGAAATAGGATAGCACTAGAGGGAGAGTCATGACACCTTCTAATCTGTAACTTCTGCCTTGTTACTTCTAATCTGAAGGGGATGTGAAGTGTGTCCGAGATGAAAGAGGCCTGGAGGCCATTTTTGTTCCATTGTCTCAGTTTACAGGAAAGGAAACTGAGGCAGCTGAATGACTCACTTCAAGTTCCTTGTGCTAATGAACATGCAGGTTGTAGAGCCTTGGGCATCACTCTGGAAAGGCACAAGCACACAGGGATCTTTCTGCCACAGGAGCTGTTCTGTTTTGGATGGGAGCAAACAAGAATAGAGAACTGGACGTAGATCTCTAGGCTTATGCTGATATGTAGGGCTACAGGTAGGAGTGAATAGCCTGGGAGAAGAATGAATGTGCCCTTACAGCTGTCCCGGGAGATTATGTAACTAAACTGCCCTCCTCTTGGCACTCAAACAGGTGGGCTGAGCACTGGGTTCAGGTGAGGAATGTTGGTACCTTACTTACAGTGTTGGTAGCCCCAGAATGACTAGTTCTGCTGGGCTCAACTTCCATGCCATTCCCTCTAGGGCAAGGGTTGTTGTGTTCTGGAGGCCTGGGGAACCAAAAAGCGGAGTGTGGACCTTGGTTGCAACTGATAGAGGTCTAGCGCCTGTTAGAGTAGAGGAAGATATTGAAATTGTGAGCTTTTTGTGGTCACGTGACACGTTAAATAATTAACGCAGATCATCAAGAATGGATCTGGCTCGCCAGGGCCTCCCTAGGAATAAATCTCTCAGTCCTGAGACTCCAACTTCTGTTTGATTTTTAAATACACACACCTTCAGATTTATCTCCAAAGGCATTCAACTCCTTCAGGAAGGTCCCAGCGCTCACCAGGTCCAAGGCTTTCTTGCAAGATTGCTGGAAGTCCAGGGAGGCTCTGTGTCCAGGGAAATGTGAGTTTGGGCTCAGGCTTTTTTTTTTTTTTTTTTGGTCATATCCTGGTTTTGGTGATGAAGTGGGACAGAAGCGCAGACAGTTGGTAATGTCCTGATTCACACTGGGGAAGGCTGCAGAGATACCACAGGAGGAGCACTCGGCTTTGTTCAATTTTTCCCCGGTGTTCATAAATCACCAGCGCTAGGCGAGCGAGGAAGCAAGTAGACGCAAAAAAAAAAAAAAAAAAAAAAAATGCAGGGAGAGGAGGCCACAACGGCTGGCTGCAGCCATTGCAGGGCAGGAGACCTGAGCAGCACCGCTCTGTGACTCATTAGTCTGAAGGATTTATGGGGGACAGGAACCATGAATATTAAGACTTGAGAATAAAGAGGTAGCAGCAACAACAATAACCCTAATAATTACAATACTCCTAAGCCTCCTGCTTGGTGGCAGTTGTGATGGTGGTGGTGGTGGTGGTGGTGGAGGAGGAGGAGGAGGAGGAGGAAGAGGAGCAGGATTGGAGCATAGCAGATCTTTCTGGGATGAAGTTAAATATTGAAGAACATAAGGGGAAGGCCCTCACCTTGCCCAGGTTCATATCAGGAGTCCCAAGGCCTGATATGGGACTCTCGGCGGGGGGGGGGACGGGGGGGCTCCCATGGAAGACACAGAGTGGGAGTCTGAACAAGACAAAGGGGCCCAGAGTGGATTCTGGTCCTAGGCACCTTTATGCAGGGTAAAGGCTTCGGGTGGAGTTCTGGCAGAGGGCAGCTGCCGGCTTGCTGCCACCCCTCAGCCTTCAAGCAGGCTCTCAAGCCAAGAATCAGGTGATTTCCCCAGCTCCTTGGTAGTTCTCTTCTGGCTGTCAGCCGGATTACATAGACGTAGGGCAAACTTACCAGGG